TGAACCCGTGTTAGAAACCACGGTTGTCTCCATGTTTGACAGCAGGTGTCTAGGTCTAAGACAAAAGAGACGCATAGCTCATAATGCACTCACCTCCAACACAACCATCACCACCATCAGGTCGATGCTACGTCTCGTCCTTCTTCACATGACGGCGGAAAAACGGTCTCCAGGCCCGACATCAAGCTGTATTTTACCCCGCTCTGCTCTCAGACCTGGCCCGGCGTCTGTGCTGCTGGAGTTCCGTGTCTGCCGGCAGCCTGCAATGACAGCAACCGCCAGCAGGAGGAGGGCTGTACGGCTACAAATGCCTAGCTCTAAAACCTTCAAATGAACCCGTTAGTCCGTCACTATGTGTGGTAATCTGCTGGATCATCCAGGCTGCGATCTGAAAGAAGGGCTGGACCAGAGACGGAGGGAGGAGAGAGTCATATGAACACGGTGAGTGTGGGTGAAGATGGTGGAGTCGTGGCTTGTTCAAGCCAGCCACACATTTACTCACCAACCTGATGAAGCGGCCAAAATACAGAAGCACCCACAGCGGCTCCTAGAGGCTGATATTTAAATTGCTCTTTTTAAGCCCATGACCTTATACCATCCTTTCATACCCTTGGGATTAGTTATTAAGGTGCAGCATGCAGGGGGAAAAACAAAACGAACACAGAATCTTCATGTCCTCAGTCCACCCTAAAGAAACACAGGAAGTATACTGTGGTGTGATAATCTGCAGGGATGCTAGTGTTAATCTGTACTTCTCCCAGTTTTATTTATTTCACAAGTGATCAGGGCATTTTGGTGAAAACATTTACAGGTGCAAAGCAGAGTCTGTAGGTGGCAGTACTAGAACTGGACCCCAAGAGAACAAACACCGTAGATAATGATTCTGAATACCTGTTTGAATGTTGTATTTGTGGATGAAATGTTTTAAAGAGTTTCAGAATGTATTTGTAAAGGAAGTAATATTACAGTACCAGCTGCTTAACTCATGAATCTCAGTATTGAATATTCAGTGTTTAAAGCACCCCCTGCAGGGAGGGAGAGGCACCATCTTTGCACACAAAAAAGAATTGATGCATTCTTTTAAAAATATATTTTGCTAAATAATGTGTTTGGCTGACTGAAAACCCTTCACATTAACATAAAGAACTATTATGTAATAAGAACAATATTAAATATGCACAAGATTTATTAACAAGTTACATTTTCATTAACCAAAGACTACTGGCAATCATTTAAAATATTCAGAAAATAAATGTTTTCTGAATAACATTTATTTATTTAGGTAAAAGAAAGAACCTAAAAAATAGTAACAGTCCAACAGGTATGAACGCATTGTGGCCTTGTTGAGACAAAAAAGTCGTTAAAGCACAGCAAAAAAAAAAAAAAAAAAGTAAGGTATTTATGTTTATTAAATTGGTAAATGCTGGTGGAGATACAGTTCTGATGTGGGACTGCAATTCAGTCACTGACAAACTGACAATGCGATGACACATGCAGATGCAGCTAAAACATATTCATTTTGTTTCAAAAGGTAATATTAAAGTATATTTTTTCACTTGCAAAAAATATAAAACCCTTGAAAGACAGTAAAAAGTTGGGGGAAAAGAATGTAAAAACTTTTAAAAATGTAAATGTATTCCTTCTCCCTGAATTAATTAATTTGTTATTAATATTAATATTAAATATATAATTTTCTACTAAAAAACTGATGATCTCTGTGTTAAACCATATTATGTAAAAATATTTTTCCTCAATAAATCACATTAACAATACATTTTCTCTGACACAGCTGAGCTACGCTAATCCTGCACTTCACAAGTTCCCATATATGTAATTATATGATGAATTAGTGATGAATGGCCAAGAGATTTTCATATAAATAATAAGTATTTTTTGTGAAAGTCAGTGAGTCTTTTTTATTTACACTCCCTACCTCAACACGAACTAAAAGAATATAATTATTTTTTAAACAAGTTAATACACAAGTATATACAGTGAGTGGCCATCTGACAAGCTCACCATGTCTTCATGTCCTCTGCTAGACACTCTAGAAAAATAAAGAATAAACGAAGAATCACTCCCAGCTGGAACAAAGAAATTGCTATAACAAAATTTAAATTAAGAAAACACTCAAGTAAGATAAGGATTTTTGTGATGTTTGTTGAACAAAAAGCATTTCAGATATATGCTCAGAAATAAATCCGTTAACTAAACATAACTGAGCGAAGCAGTGAACAGGACTTGACACTTACTGCTCCTGGGTCTCTGAGCTGGAAACGCAGGTTGACGGGCTCTTCGGGAACGAGCAGGGTTCGAGTTATAGGGTTAATTGTGGTCGTAGCATCCTCAGGAATTACAGTGTAGAGCTGCATTAGCTGTCAGTATAGGATAGCACAAAAAAGACAACAACAAATTAGATAAGAAGATATTATTCAGCAGCATGGAGTACCTCAGGGTATAGAGTTGGGACCTATTATACACCTGCAGTGTTTTAAATGAATGAAAATAGAGCACTTACACAAGTTTGTTACTTCTGCAAACAGCAACGCTCTTAAAGCACCATAGGTTTGTCTGGACAGAAATTCTGTCTAAGGTTTCAAAGCAGAATCTGAACCTCCAACCATCACTCACCCTGGAAAGAGTAAAGTACAACTCCATCTCAGCCAGCCTCTTCCCCACACATCCTCGCAGCCCCACGCCGAATGGGATAAAACTGTAAGGTTGGTGTTTGCAGGAGTCAGGCCCGTATGTTCCTGCAGCCATGAGGGGCGTCTTAGTACGGAGCCAACGCTCTGGTACGAAACTCTCTGCATCAGTGAACACAGTCTCGTCATGTGAAATGGCATAATGGCACAAGTGGAACAAAGTCTATAAAAAAAAAATTAAAAAAAAAAAAAAAAAGAAAGAGAATGAACGAAACAGGTTTTTAAAGGTTCTATACAACATCTACCAACACTCTTGTCAGTCGTGGAGTAATGGATGTACCTTTTTTGGGAACCAGTATTTGTCCACAATCACATCATTCTCTGTAATCAGGCGTGCGTTTCCGGGTACCACAGGATACAGGCTGTTGTACCATCACATACAAGAAAGTCAGAGGTTATGCAACATTACATACAGAACAAGACAAAGGCTGGTCACAGTATGGCTTTCACTCCAGGAAGAAATTAGCTTTAACATCCAAAAAACAAACAAAAATGTACTGAAATTCAATAACGAATTCAAAAGTAAGATCATGTTAGTTTGTATAGTTATTGATATTAAAATTAGGTCGAACAGTTCAAATAGAAAAAATGTAATAAAATGTCACAAACAACGACAAGTCCTGAAAAATAAATGCTCTCTATAACGCCAGATATTTTAAAAGGTTTGAAAAAAAGTTTTTCAAAAGTACATGGCAAAAGAAGGGATACAGAGCAAAATGATATGGAAATATGTTGTGTCAAAACAGAGAATAAAAAAAGAGCCTGTGTGATACTGATTCCAACAGCAACCAGCTCACCGTAGTGTCTCTTTAATCACTGCCTTTAGGTACGGCATTTTGCTCAGGTCATCTGTAGCCGGCACCTGTCTGTCAGGACACACTGAACTCACCTCCATGTACAGTTGATTCTGAACCCTGTGGTCCCTCGACAAATGGTACAAGGCCCATGTCAAGGTGTTGGACGTCTAAGATCAGGTGACAGAAATGGACAGAAGCTGGGTTATATTCCTGGCTAACAAACAAGCAACATGTTAAGACACAAAAACAAACCAAGATGGTTCCTAGCAGTAGCATTTACTAAGGTATAACAGTAAAGTTAACATCAGGAGTTCAAAATCAAATCAAATCATGAGATTCTTAGCAGTACCCAGCTTTAGCTGAAATGGCTAAAAGCTAAACAGTCCAACCTGGACATACCAGTCATACACAAACAATACACCTGTACAAACGACCAGCTTCTGACTGATGTGACACAGCTGTGACCTGCTACTGAAAACAGCTACTGTGTTGTCTGTGTATTCAGTTGAAGACACCACGGTTTAGAGGCATTTTAGTCCATGAAAATGTGTATTGATAAAATCAATTGTATTAGAATACAAAATTGTTTACTTCTGCCAAATACATTTGGGTTTTCACAAATATGCAGAAACACAGAAAAGCAACAAGTTTGAATCTCCCTGCAGGGCGGGGCTTGACCTGCTCCTACAGTATGAAAGTCTCCTTATCAGTTCCAGCTGAGAAGTTAACTTCCTCATACCTGAGAGACAATTCTCTGACAAGCGTCAGAGGAGTTTAAGGAACCTGGTGTAGTACGATATACTACATATATTCTACCTTTTTATATGTTTGACTGAGTACTAGAATTTCTTGGGTAAAAATGTATATGTTTAAATATTTTATATATGACAAATTAACTCTTTGGCACAAGTAAATTAAACTACATACTAAATACAGTTCAAATGTATTGACTGAACATGACTGAACAGGAACAGGAAAAATGATGAGTCAATTTTAGTAACAAGAGCTCCAGTCCCCAGGAGTACCGAGAGGTTTAATAAAATTGTCAAGCGTTCTGACAAAATAAATAATATGTCATTGTGGCTGTGGTTAGTGATCTATACAGATTAAGTAACATTTATCAACAGACGATAACTAAATAAATACATTTTAAAAAATATTGTAATATATTGATCCCATGTTTGGGTTTTTTATTTTGTGACTAGATGTTATTGTACATAATCATTATAGGAAATAATACAACTAATTACTAAGGAAAAATGTCCAATGAAATCTAATACGTTTCACTTAATAAATAAAAAACGAATTAAATAAATAAAATAAGTTGTATTTATGCATACTAGCCATAACTAAGAAACAGTTCCTTCATATCTTCTAGAATCATGTACATTATACTCAATACCGGCTGGAGAGATTTACCTTACATTTAGATTTCAGCCATCAGTAGTAACACAAAACTGCACAGCCTTCAAAATGATTTGGAATAGTTGTCTTTACACATTATCTGTCTATTTACATGTAACCGGACCCCTATCAACTGCAAACAAAAGTAATAGACAACATAAATGTTTCTGACTGAAAGCTAAATCCACAACCTCCTAAAATTAAGGCTTAATTAATGCATGATTAAGGTCAAGAAATATAAAACCACAGTTGCAAAATTGCAGTACAAACAAAACATTTTAAAGTATAAAAATAACAATTATTAAATTAAAAATAGCTGATAGACAGCATGTTGCTAACAAGCTAAACGTCAGATAAAATCAGATTACAACACTGTTGCTCAATGTTACGTTTTGTCAAAAGCTGATTTGCTTATTTCAACACCGATTACATTCAGGGTGTGGATGATGGATTCACCAAAGTATTTGACACTGTGTGGAAATGTATCACCTGCAGGTTTGAGCATAATTAAGTTACATGTGTCAGAGAGAAAAATACTTTTGGCTTTAAAGGGTGCAAAACTAACTGGGGGGGGGTGGCGATGGTGGCTTGGTGGTTAAGGAAGTGGTTTGAGTCCACCAGCTGCCAAGTTACCACTGAGGTGCTCTGAACTTTTTATTCTGAACATTTTATTATGTTCCTTTCAGCAGTTTATTAAATAAAGGAACAGACTGACTGTATGTTAGATTGCGTTTTCATCATGTAACAAATCAAGAAGAAGAATCAAAGAGAAGTGATTGTATTGGGTTGTCTCATCCCAGATTTCAGGCCATGATACAACTTGAAACAATAACAACTTTTCTATTGTTTGCTCTTTGTTTTGTGGTATTGCAAACATTTGCTTGGATTATGTTCTCTGTTCTATGTTTATTGCAAACATTTGCTTGGATTATGTTGCGGCTCTTTCGCCCCCTCGGGCAGTAAAACACAATAAAGAATTGTGTGTCATAAAAACAGCAAAGACTTCCTCTCACCGTGTCGACTCCTCCAAGCAGCAGTTCTGTGACAGTGACGTTGACATCGGCTCTGCTCATTTGGTCCGAGGACAGTAGTTTAGTCAGGTACATACTCTCTGTGGGCTCACCCCTTTGGACTTGGTTTACAATCTCAGCAACTCTCCTGTCAATTAGCTTTTCAGCTTTGATGCAAAAACATCGACAAACAAAGTCAAATAAAAGCAGGCAGACATTCATGGTCTAAAATCCTAAATGTAATCCTAAAAATTTAAACCATCTTCCACTTTTCTTCTTTCTTTTGCTGCTTACCCACATCATAAAGGTCATCCCAAGCCTTTACAAAACGCTTCCAAATGGGAAGGACGCTCCAGCTCCAGCGTGGGAATAGAACAATGAGCTGAGACAGAGTTAGCATGTCGTTGACAGCCGTGATGAATCGCATCGTGTCTTTGGGAATGTTCTGCTCCAAGCAGCCCAATCTGGTCTCAAATAAGATAGCAGAAGTAGCTAAAGAAAGACAACAATTGAAGAAAGTCTTTAAGTAGAATGAAATCCTTTCAATTTCCTGTTTTTTTTTTGTTTGTTTTGACAAACTCTTACCCTCAAAGCCAAACTTGTACAGCTCAGATGCAATATTTGAAACCGTAGCCTGGTCCTGACTGCAACTGCGGAGGAACTCGATGCGTTTTAGCAGATCTCCAACCACCTGGTGAACAGTGGGAGCGAAAGCTGCGACTTCTTTCTGCTTCAGCAAACCAGGATTCAGAGTACGGCGCAGCTGGTGCCAATCTGTTGCATCACTAGGAGAGATTACAAATTCAGGAAACCAACATCTGTACCACGACGTAAAATTAGGATAAAGATTCAATGAAGTACAATGAAACTGTCCTCTCCTTTCAGGACTGCAGACAGCTTCTAGATATTTAAGAAGAACAGCAGTTTTGGACAGATGCAAAACTACAAAAATCAAGTGTACAAAAATCATAATCTGAAATGCTTAAACCTTTGAATGCTTAAACCAACCACCACAGTCCAAAGAGCTCACATCCAGTCAGAATCCATCAATCAATCGGACTCTAAATCACTCAACTCACCTGGCATGCAGACCCAAGGCCTGACCTCTCATTTCCCTGTAGTCTCTCCAGTGCTTCATTTCAAATCGGACTGGGTAGCGACCCTCTTGTTGGAGCACCTGAGCAATAAGCGCTGGGCTTGCCACGTTGATCATCATGTAAGAACCAACCTTTGATCGCCAAATTGGTCCATACAGGTTCTTATATACGCTCTTAAAAATAACAAATAAGGACACATTTAACACAAAGCAAACATTTTTACCAGAAAAGTCAAGAATATGTAGACATATGTGGCATAATAGAGTTAAGTAAAGCTTAACAATAGATTTTAAAAAAAAGAAAAAAAAAAGGTTTAAAGTTTACAAAAACAAAAAAAACAACAACTGCATTTTAGATCAAAATGGTAAAACATAGGAGCTACAGAGCAATAATAAAATATGTTTAGAGATATTAAATATAGGCCTGAAATGGACAAAAAAAAATCTCAATCTTAATTTTGTACAAATATTTAGAAAAGAATCCAAAAATGTAAATCACACAAAACCAAAAGTGGGAAAACTAGTTATGGCTTAACCAAAAAGACAAACGTTACACTGGCATCAAGTTCCCAAGACAAAATTAAAAATAGGTCGAATTTAGCAGCCAGTGAAAAGTAAAAGGTACAGTAACAGTGTTTGTGAAAAGGGCTAGGGACGAGGTCGAGACAACTAATCACATCGAATGTTTACATCCACCCCAAATCCCAGATTGTGTTCAATCCGCACCTGGAGCAGGTGAATCTTGTTCAGATATCCCTTGAAAAGTAGCATGTACAGATCGTTGGAAATGCTGGGACCCGGGAGATCATCGATGCCTTTCAGAGAGTTCGTTTCGGCCGCAGCTGACACGTTTAGGCTCCTCCATACAAACTTGACTTGGGAGGCACTAGGCCGGAGTTCTACACCGACCGCAGCCACCAACAGAGTCCGTGTGCAAAGCTCCGAGACCCGCAGAGTATGGCCCAACCTTCCGGTGGATAACATAGTGATGGAGTCGCTGAGATGTGTCCGTCTCTGAAAACGCCGTGGTCAGGAGGCGAATCTCTCCAAAATCTCCGTGGTCAGGAGGCGAATCTCTCCAAAATGAAAAAGAGGAAGAGAGAAAGAGAGAGAGAGTGCAACAACTTCCTGGGTGTGTACGTCCCTTACTGTGTACTGAACTAATAACCACACAGAACACATTTGTTGTTTCAGGCGTTTTGCCCAAATAACCAATAATATTAATCGACAACGACTGATTTTTTTTTTTTTTTTGGCTATCAATTTTGAAAGTAATTTTAATGCGATCTCTAAGCTATTTCGCACCTACTTTACTGTTGATGTATTGACTGATTTAAACTAATATTGAAATTGTGATCCACACTTGCAACGTACTGTCTTTCATTGTAGAGTTGGTTTAACAGAAAGATAACTGTTAAACGCACATATTTTTGTTAATGTGTATTTAAACGTAAAGGCAAAGAACCTATACAGACTTTCTTAAATTCAAGACCATCAATATTATGCTGAAACTTTAAAAAATGTTTTACCAAGAATCTCCACTAGAGGGAGGCAGTTGCTTCCTTGACTCCCTGCTTAGCAGCAGAAAAGACGTAAACAAAGCGGAGAGCAACTGAGCAGCGAAAGCTAAGTAGCTAATGTTTAGAGCCGCTATTGCCACATTTGGTTCATCTAAAGGGGCTTTAAATGCTCGTCTTATCAAGGCTGAACTATTTTAATAATTAAAACAGAAGTAGTCTATTAACTGACATCAAAACAGAATGTATGTTGTGAGTCTTTAAATAACGTTTTATAGCTAGTTAGCCTCTATTAACCATATTGTGCAGGGCACAGATTTTTTTTGTCTTCTGGGACAATATTCGTGTCTTTCTGTAGCGACGTGTATTAATAATTCATGGTGGCAACTAACTTGTTCGATTGGTGAATTCTAGACCGGTTTTTAAAAAGAGCTGCGATCGTTAGTGCTGCAAGGTAACCATGTAGCTAATTTGGACTTAAATAGTCCGGATCCTAGTGTAAGGGTCGGTCCTGACTTAGTGACCGTACCGCCGTTGTTATCTGGACCCGAACTGCGATGTTTAGCCTAATGGCGAACTGCTGCAATTGGCTGAAACGGTGGCGAGAGCCCGCAAGGTGAGTTATGGAGCTTTAATAACCTGTTAATGTAGGGGAAAAGTGGTCGTTTGCAACGGTATCACGTGACGTAAAATATAATGTTGAAAATGACTTAAACCCGAAAGGGTATTTCCTGCAGAGGTTTGGATGATTGCTAACAGAGACAGAGATGAAAATGGGTGGAAAAGAAGATTAGTTTTAATTTATGTTCAAATGTTTAAGAGGCGAATGTGTGTACCACATTAAAACGAGCAAAGGGGTAAAAAACGCCCATCAAGAAATAAACAATGTTCATAAAGATTAATGGTACAAAAGTAGTTGTAATAAAAGTAAGTAGGGCCCTTCTGAAAAGCGATCATGTCTCCCCACGAATAGCTTGATGAGTTAAATGCTGAGGATACATTGTGTATATACAGTATGTGTCTGTGTACAGTATGTACAATGAAAGTAAAAGGGCTTCCCTTCGTCTTCCCCTCCCTCTTCTAAATGTGGATCAATTTGGCCTATAAAGAAAATATTACATTTATTTCTATGTAAACAATGGTGTACATATGTATATATGATCTCCCTTTCCTTCAAAAATCAGCTACTGTTTTTTCAGGTCTCTTGGCTCATCATTAGTATTCAATGTCCATTGATTAAAGACATTGATCGAAAGTAAAATTATGCACATTTTCCATTACAAAGTTCAAATGAACAGAAGCTTGGTGTTTAAACAACAGGGAAAATAGTATGACTTGGGGATCTTGCGCAGAATATATACAAAAAAATATAGAAAAAAGCCCAGCAAAAAGCATCAGAAATGTTAAGCAGACTAAAGATTGAAGATGCTGAAACCACGTGGTACCTGTGAGGTATCTGATCCTTAGGACTTAGTCAGGAATCCTCCACTAATCCTACAGGCAGCTCAGCAGAGTGTGTCTTACCTTTGGGCCGTTGCTCTGAGTGTTTGGACAAGAAGAGGCGACAGCTAACTGTTGTTGTCTGTTGGAGGTTCTTCAGTTGTGACTATTATCTCAGATTCTTCTCTGATGAAGGCCAGTTGGCTCCAGAGGACAGTCAGATGGATTGTGCAGATGATGTCGTTTCGGCGTAAATGTCAGAGTTAAGTATGCAGTAGGGAAAAACTTAGTAGTATTTTAGATCTGACTGAGGGCATCAGTAATGATATATCACATCTTTGACCATAGTGCCAGGGGTCAAAATGTCAGCTTCCTCTTTTTATCATCGTAGAAAATCTGTCAAAGACGTTCTGAATTTTATAGATGACTTTATTGCCTGTTCATTGGCTGTCGTTTGTTGTTTTGATTACCTATGTGCAATGCAAATGCTCAAATATTTATTTAATTTTAATTTCTCCTTTAATAGGAAAGTGACCCTGGTCATGGTGGGACTGGATAACGCTGGCAAAACTGCAACAGTACGAGGAATTCAAGGAGGTATTTTTTGTTTTGAATTAACTTTTTAAATTTTGAATTTTATTTTTGACTTTCTTCGTCAGTGAAAAGAAATGTGTTCAATTTGAGCCCTCAATCATAAACATAATAAAGTTGTCTTTTGGAAACTTCAGTTATTATACTTTACAAAAAAAAGCACCAAAACACCCAAATCTAATTGTTCTCCCTTTTACAAAAATAACTTTAGTCTTTTTTTAATGGCACCCGATTGTTTTTTGAGTAGTTGAAAATTATGGTTTAAATATGGCCACCGTCAGACTCCAGTGGGAACAGTGTTGAAGTGACTTGGATGCACAGAAAAATATGTAACATCATACACATTGGAATTTGGAAATTCTTGTGTGAACAGTGTCAGTCAATTTGATCAACTGAACAACAAACCAGACTTGAGCTCTTCGAAGATCATCCAGAAGGAAGATGACATTGTCATTAGATCAGATTATAGAGAGGTATAACTCTATGGCCATCATCAACATTGGTATCTGAGTTATTTTGTCTTTTTGAAATTCAAATCATTGTGAGCTTTCCAATAATTTGCAGTTACCAACTTTGGCTTTAAATTAAAGTTATCTTAATTTCTCCCCACAGAAAACCCCGACGATGTAGCCCCAACCGTTGGGTTTTCAAAGGTGGACCTGAAGCAAGGCAAGTTTGAGGTCACGATCTTCGACCTAGGTGGTGGGAAAAGAATCCGGGGCATATGGAAAAACTACTACTCAGAATCACACGGTGTTGTGTTTGTCGTGGACTCCAGCGATATACAGCGACTCCAGGAGACCCGGGAGACCATGGCTGAGGTTCTTCAGCACCCACGTATCGCAGGCAAACCTGTTCTAGTGTGAGTGTGGGGATCTGTGATATTCAGTCAAAGCACCGTCATACAGGGATATGACATATAGGAATATTATATTGTGTGAACATTCTTTGCAGACTGGCCAACAAACAGGACCAGGAAGGAGCCCTGGCCGAAGCAGACATCATTGAGAACCTGTCGTTAGAGAAGCTCGTAAACGAAAACAAGTGTCTCTGTCAGATTGTAAGTGTGTCTGCACCTGTCAGGTGATGGCAATTGAGTGGCTTTAAGAGCATTCTGTTTACGAACAATGACTGATAAGCTGGGGATATATTTAGGAAACAGTTTATCAGAATAGAATTTATTTTCTACTATTTTGCTGTTTCTTGTTCTGCCAAACTCTGTTGTGTCTGATCCTCTGTATATTTATGTTCTGTTATCTTTAGGAGCCATGCTCAGCAGTCCTCGGCTATGGCAAAAAGGTGGACAAGTCCATCAAAAAGGGCTTGAACTGGCTTCTTAGTAACATTGCCAAGGACTACGAGGTGATCGCTGAGCGTGTGCAGAAGGACACGGCAGAGCAACGTGCTCTGGAGGAGCAGGACAAGAAGGAGCGAGCAGAGAGAGTGCGACGGATACGGGAGGAGAGGTGAGGCTGCAAAATGTTGAAGGAAAAAATAAAAATAAAAATGAAACAGTAGTTTAAACATGAAGAAAAATAAATTATCTACATGTGTAGATTGTTAGATCCACTGTAATGAGCAGATGGGAATAAAAATGATACATAATTGAAAATCTTGTTTTCTAGAGGCAAGCACTTCAGAACACATAGATAAGATTTTGTTTTATATGCACAGAGAACGACAGGAGCGAGAAGCAGAACGAGAAGGTCGACCTGTCCCGGAGGAAGAGCCGGATGATGAAACCATCCTCAGCCCCTTCCAGCCAATCAGCAACGTCATCTCTGAGGTAGATGCCGATCATGCACACAGTCAGGCCTACTGTTGATTTGAAATGATGTGAATTAAATGTTATTTGTCTTTCCTTCTGCTTTCCAGAATGAAAATAAAGAGAAAGGGCAAAATGAGCTGCAGGAGGTCAGGACCAACGGTCCAATACCTGATGTTGATCATGAGCTAGACGAGGAATATGAGGAGGAGGAGCTGGACGATTCCAGACAAATCCCAGAAAATGCTAGTTCAGGTGAGGCTCTGTAGTTCTAGTTATAAAATAAATCATGCAAATAAAACAAAACATACAAAGAAGGTAAATATCTGCCAGATTTGGCAAAATGTGATTTTGTATTTAACACACTTCACTAAGTTTAGTCAGGATTAAAACGGATTAAAACGATATAAGCTAAATGGAGGATGGATTGATCAGATCTAGATGGACGTATAGAAGTATTTTCATTTGTGTACTCACCAATATGGAGTACCATACTGATCTGTCTTCCTATGAATGTGCTGTGCTATGCTGCAGTGTGTAGGAAAACCACAATGAAGACACCAAGGAAGAACGAAATGCTGACAGCCAGTTTAATTTTCTACTCCTGAACAGAAGGCTATTATAAAATCCAAACAGAAACAAAAGGGGAAAAAACTAGTCATGATGTTGCAGAGACACTGAACTGCAGTAGGAAATCACACAGCACTAGCTAAATAGTTTGCAGGTAAAGCTGTTATAGAGGAGTATGTCACTGGATCGAGTATGAATTCGAGAACAAGACAAAGAAATTAATTAAGATGTTGGGCTTGATACTAATACTTGTAGTCCGGTTGGATAGACTAAATGATTTACTGAGGCACCAACAATTTGATGGATGGATCAGTCAAATCATCTCTTTTCCTGAAGCATCTGTAGCTTCAACCACTTCGGTGGAGCCAAACAAGAAGAAGATGCTGAAGCTCCACCTAAAGAGGAAGCATCGCGTTGACCCCTTAAGGATAGACGACGGGCCGACAGATATCCCTGCCCCACCTCCTCCACCAGGTGAGTGGAAAAGCTGGTGCCTATGATAAAGTCCAGTGCATCATGGGTTACCAACATCAATATTCACACCGGTTTGATGGTGATGTGCAGTTTGGCCATTACCTACAGTGAGATCACAAATCACAAAGTGACCTTTTGAGTTGACTGTTGTAATTTTTTGGTTGTTTGCAGTCGGATGGGCAACACCCAAAGTTTCAAGGCTGCCCAAACTGGAGCCCCTGGGAGACTCCAAACATTCAGGTACATCTGTCTGTTCACTTCTCTTAGAAGCATCATATCATATATCATCACTTTCTTCTGTCAAATAAAACCACTTGTCCATGCATCTCCTCACTAACCTGAACTTGTTCTTTTTCATTCATTGACTGTTTCCTCTGTGCATATTACACTGAAAGTGTTGCTTTAGTGTAAAAGGTGTGAGTCTGGGAGTCACAGACGTGTCATGTGTGTCTTTTCATCTCCTGCGTCTTCACCAGACGTGTGTGTGAAGCTGTCTGTGTGTTCAACCTCCAAAGACTGTGCCCTCCACTCACACACCTCTGCGCTGTGTCTGCCATGATCAACATCTTTCCTGTTTTGCTGACATTACCAGAAATACAGCTGTAGTCTTCCATCCCAGGACTAATGATTTTCCCCTCCATCCCTTCACAGAGTTGTTCAAGCCTCTGCCTCCGCTCGCAAACAGACCGCGGCCTAACGGCGACTCTCACGACGTCGTTTTGTAAAAAAACCTCAAATGTAGCGAGGTTTACACCTGACCAATCACTGCTCTCCTTTTCTTTCTTGCTTTCTGTCTCAAGCAAGTGGCAACGTGACAACATGACACACAGACGGCTCAGGAGAGGAGGATCCTGGGTACGCACGGAGCAGCTGAACAAAAGCAGCGCATCCTGGAAATTGGCTTCTCTTTAAAAAAAACGAAAAGAAAAAAAAACAACAACTCACGATTCAGTGAGAATCACCAACATCAAACTGAGCTGATTGTTTTGTCTGGTGTGGACATAAAGACTGAAAATGTTATTTTTTTATTTTGCTACAGTGTTACAGACCATCAACTGCTTTTCATAGACAAAGATTGTTTATGTATATATATATATATATATATATTTAGGATTTAGTATATCATTTCATCTGTTACAGCTTTCATATATGAACATGCTTGATTTTTTTTTATGTTTTGCATTTTCAGTTCTAGAAGTGTATTTTAAACATACTGGATATACTTGCATATACATGTGCTTTTACTGAGGGTCTCTTTCAGATCAGTCAGTTATTTTTGTCCAGCAGTAAAATGAACGGCACGAATATTCTTACGGAGCAGCTCTAAATTATATTCCAGTAAATTATTTATATTTTTCACTACATGCTATTGTTAAAAGAACAATTCTAGTATTTGCTTTTCTTAAATATATTAAATATAGTTCATAATACGTTTTTATTGCTCACAAGATAATCAAGAAAATCAAACCTGTAGCCAGACACTGAAACAGTTTGTCAGCAAGCTCTTGAAAAGTATTAATTTGTTCATATATATATATATATATGTATATGTATATATGTGTATATATGCACAAATACTTTACAAACACATATATATTTATATACTGTATATGTTTGTGCATATATACACACACATATATGTATACATAAACAAATATATGCATAGATATGATAGAATTCTAATGTTAAATGTATACATTAGGCCCTAGATACCCAACAAACTGGCTTTTTAAAAAATTGCAGACAAAAAATGTAGACATGAGGTGACATGTCGACGACCTGACCTACTCAGTGAGCCATAGCACAAACCAGTAGTGTGTGTTTAAGCAATGCTGAAGGTGTTGTTAAACAGAGGCTTAGTTATTTCATTTCGTGTTCAACTTTATACATGACAGGGCTACAAGTTGTTTGATGTAGCCAGCTGTTCACCTGGTAGTTTTCTAAAGTGATGATTTGTTCTGTAGGCAGGAATCTGTGATTGCTTTATTCTAACTTGTTTGGGGGAAAAAAAAAGCTAAAATGTATTTTTTAGAAGACCGTCTGCTTCAAACCTGAATCTTAACACTATTGTACATTTAAGTTATATTACAGCATTCCTTTGCTTTACTGTTTATAAGCACCAATGTTTTTTTTACTCAATTCAGATTTTATAAAATTCCTTGAAAGAAATGTTTAACTCTTGACTGTTATTTCCAATGGTGTGAGTTGCTGTTTTTGGATAAAAAGGTTTAGAAATAATGAAATGTATTGCCTTAGATGAAATTCAAGACCCAACACATTGTCTTTAGGGTGTAGATATTTCAAAACTCATCGCTAAAGGATTATTTCCAGAACACAGAATGATTTCTTGAACACAACACCTGAAATATTCTGAACTGATCTAAAGACACATCACTGTTTTAAACATTCATAAGTTTGAGATCTAGATTTAAGTTGACCAGCAGAGGGCAGCATAAAACAGCTTAAAATTAATTTGTCTTACACTGTCCCACAACTAGATGGCACTTGAAGACTATGTCAAATTAATCGTGTTTAAAGAGTAGACCACAGGTGTGACTCTTCTCAGAAAGAAAACAGTCCTAGCTTTTTATTTTTGTCAAATAATAGGAAACAGTATAATATATATATGAGATTAAATAAAAGTGCTTATGGACATTTTTAAATCATGAAACTTATAAAGGCACTGCTAGTAAACACATGAAGCAAAAATGTTGCTGTAAATGCTAAAGCCAGCTTAGGAAGAAGCTAAAAACGTATGAGCTAAGACACCGAAATAACACCGAAATCCGTAACATATTACAAAAAGTTAACTCCCTAGTATAATAAGGATTAAAAAAAATCTAACTTTTCCAATAGACACTACTTGCTAGACATTTAATGTTAGCCTCACTAGTAGTTCTTGGTAATGTGGTAGCTGTTATTAGAGAAAAGGGATGTTGAAATGACAAAATAGCTAAGGCTGCCAACAAATGGACGCCTCTAAGCCAAAATGCAGGAAAAACTAAGGACAAGTAGATGTCAAAGAACACAAAGCAGCAAGTAAACCTAGACTATTATATATATTACTATATATATATATATATATATATAAGCTGAGTGTAGTTTTAATTCAAGTCGGTCATGATCAAATTTTTTTAATAATTTTGAATCTGGTACTAAATAACTTTAAACAGTAGATTTTATCGACTCATTCACTGTGAAATGTTTGCTTCAGTAGGTGTGAGTGTTCTGAAGCTCCTGGCAATGACACCATTCTGAAACCATGACAATTAATCTAAGACTTGATAAAATGGGAACTTTAGTGAAACTATAATCATGTGCTGCATGTTGCCCACAGTGTGAACGCTCATCAATACCCTCCAGCACGACGTTTAACAATCAGTACTCTCACAACTTGTCGCTAACCGACGGTTCTTTGGATATTTCTGGCATCTTGCAGTGAAGTTGCAGTTGATGACTAACGTCCTCACCTGCCTCTGATCTGAGTGTAGGTGGTGATATACTGTAAAACCATCCAAAAAAAGATTATTATATTGACCCTGGTGGTTACTGATGGTCCTACTCTGTGAAGTTTGCATTCTTGTGTGGGGGTCTTTCTTCACATTCACAGTTTTGTCCCACAGTCTAAGGTGGACGAGCTAAACAAAATGGCTCGGTGTGCATGTGAGTGTGAAAGGTTGATTCTCTCTACAGCAGGGGTGTCCAATAAGTAGATCAGGATCTACCAGTAGATCTCAAAGATAGTGCTAGTAGATCCTGAGCAATTACATTTAAAGAAACAAAAAAATAATACATTTAATTCTATTTTACGATGCTAATCACAACGGCTAAAGTAAGGACGATAGAAGTATTGAGTCAGACGGTATTGTGACATACAACTACAGCCATTAAATCAAAGTAGTAAATATATATTTATAGTTTTCAATGTAGGTAGATCACTTCTCCCCCGGCCATTTAAAAAGTAGCTCCAAAGCCGAAAAAGTGTGGACACCCCTGCTCTACAGTATATGTGATGGATAGGGGAACTGTCCAGAATAAATGTCTTGCTTCACTCCACTGAACTGCTAGGATTGAGGCCGGCCCCCTCCCCGACCAAACACCTTAACAAGACGGAGCTGTGGAAGATGAATAAATGATGAATTGAAGTCAGGAGAGTTTCTGCTGTTAAATGTTGTTGCTTAACTGATGTCATTGGACCTGACACTGAGCTGGACACTGGACCTTGCCAAAAACATGGCTGCATTCAGAGCCAGAATTATGGGCCTTCCCAAAAGTCCTACTAATAAAATTTACACCTGCTGCAAGAAACTGCATCTTAATGTTAGCTCCTTCTGTGAGGGATCATTAGGTGTGCCGCGGAACATTACCCAATGTCAATTGGTCAGAAAAAATATTATTCATATTTTGAAATTAATTTTTATTCTTTTGTCAATGCGTGGCAGGCAGAACAATTAAATATCTGTTGCTAGGTGGCAGCAAACGGCTGTGAAACTAAAAAAAGAGAATCAGAGCTGTTGAAGAAGATCTTTGTAAATGTCTTTCTTCAATTTCTGCTAGTATATCAGCTTTGTCTTCAACTCAGGTGAGATTTTAGTCAATTGTGAGTGTATTTAACCCAAATCTACTTTTTCATATTTTTGTTTGGTGGTGTGTCGTGCGGTTTTTCTAATAAAAAATATGTGCCACGGCACAACAACCGTTGGGAAACACTGACCTACAGTATATGTATACAAGACTCTGTGTCTATTTCCATCAGGCTGGAGATCTTTCCTGATCTCTGGTAAAAAGGTTGTGCTATTGTTTTGTTGGTTTAAGAATTAAGCATTATTATTCAAGTCTCATTCCCTGCAGTAAACACACCGTGTAATATACCACCAACCTTCATCAGAGATCCCACACATTCTTATGAGCTCTAAATGATTCAGAGATGCCAGCTTCCTCTCCACAACTCTCCCTTCCGGCTTCTATACGTAATTATTGAAAAAACAAAAGAAAAAACAAACAACCCCCCCGCCTCCCCCAGCATCCAAATCACCATACAAATGGCTTCAGACTAAACACGTCCGCTACACATTTTGCAATGCACTAACTGACACCTGGTCTGGTCAGAATCAAAGGCCTTCGCTGCAGCTGCGACTTGGAACAATGTCAAAAAGAGAAAAACTCCTGGCAGTCTGCATTTGTTGCTGCTGCCGCCTGAGGGAGAACATCTTGACACCAGAATGAAAGAAGAATAATGTGTTTACATGATTCTTTCTTGCCTGAGTTAAGCGGAGAGGCGAGGACGCGCACACACACACACACACGCACGGAGACACACACAGCAGCAGTGAAGCCCAGTGACTTTACACCACTGCGGCCCGTGGACACATGTCACGTCCCATCCGTCTTGTGTGCACCACTGAACAACCTCCTGGAGCTACAGTTTGTTTTTTGTCAGGCTCTGAAAAAAAACGTCTCAGCGTGTTGAAAAAAACCCTGTTGAGGTTTAAAACCAAGATCCGACTTTTTTCAAATGCTCTTTTCCTGCTTATTCTTTCCAGTAAAAAGTAAAAAAAAAACCCTAAGTGTATCATCAACTCATGGAATTTGACTTACTTCTCAACTCTTAAAAATTAATGGCAGCAGTGGGAGCGCTCATCAAAGTCTAGTGAACTGGAAAGATTCCAGCAGGTCACTTCAGGCAGTGCAATGTCACGTCTTTGTTCTGCTGTTATTATAGGGTTTTTACGAGCCATGTCCGATATTAGCATATAATGTAATATCTGTAATATTTTTTCCTCCGATAATGAAAACCCGATATCGCAATACCAGGATTCCGCCGAATGATGTGTACTCTAAAAATAGTTTTAGGGATAAACAGCTGTGTTAAAGTGAAAGTCACTAGATGGCAGTATTGCAGCTCATTTAACTAATCTCATACTCATACAGAGGTTTGTACAGATAAATAAATAAATATTACCAGGCCCATATCAATATGGGTTGATATCGGAATCGGAAAATAAGTGTTTGGACAATATCAGCATATCGGATATCGGCAAAAAGTTCATATCGGACATCCCTAGTTTTTACCTCTTCTAAACTGCACTCTGTGTACAAGGGGAAGCCAAAAACTACTAAGACAGATATTTCCTTTTCACTTCAGTCACGTCTCTTTGTGTCTCCAACTGCTTTGAAAAGATGTATCATCATATTTCTGTCAATGTAGCAACAGCTTTATTTATAGCAGAGCTCGTTGGTTGTTAGGAGCCGTTCACCTTTAACTTAAGACCTAAAAAAACCCCACAGCTGTTCTACTGTTTTGATGTTCCCTATAAGGTAGAACGACTATTTCAGGAACAACTCTCGTCCATTCCACAGTCGGCCCAGGAATCTAATCACAGAGTTTTGTCATTGAAACATATTCCATCATAATTTCAGGTTCAACATAATTTACGGCTGTCATTGCGTCCCAGCAGCTGCAGCTGGACCTCTGTCAAGCTAGTTGACAAAGTTGTGTTTCCAACAGGTGTACGGTTTGAACTCTGCTGCTTATGAAAGACATGAAGACGGAATTGTGGAAATTATAGGCTTATTAGAAGGTTTATGTCTACACCAGACATGACATGACATGATGTTGGGAGAAAAGACGTTGACGAATTTGTCACTTTTTCCCAGACCCAGTACCCTCAAAGAAACAAAAATATCAATTTTGGGGGTTGGGGGTAATTTGTCTGATATTGTGGGAAAAAATATCAGAACAAGTAAATTCCCAGTCTTACTGTTGGAACTTTACAAAGTAAAGCTATTTCAGAGACATCCATCATGGACCACAACATTTTTAACCACCTTGGGGCTACAAGCAACTGATGCTGCAT